CACGAGAGTTTGGAATGAGTATCCAGCACCAGAACAATTTCCCTGTGGATTTCCTCTTCTGCCCAATCTATATTGCCCAGAGAAGCCGTGGCTGCCCCATCCTACTGGAACTGTTCAAGGTCAGGGCTTGGAGAAACCTGGGATACTGGAAAGTGTCCCTGCCCATGGCAGTGTCACACTCGGCACTGCCTTCCAATTAAAATGTGTGAACTTCCAGATTCTTTCCTACTCAGTGCACCTCCTTATCCCACCACAACTCCTTCTGTCGACCTTCTCCATCCAAGAAACTCTGTGTTTTAAGTGAAAACTTGAGTTTTAAGTGAAGCTTTAAGTGAAAACTTGAAACTGGAAGTGTGAACCCACCCCCCCTGGATCCACCCATTTCTTAACAATACTGGATTATAAATTCACTATAAGGATGAAAAGTAAAATTAGCCCATATTTCAACAAGTTAAATATCATCAAAATGCTGGGCACTCTAGATCCAAAGATCAGGCTGCCTCTGCTTTGCTCGGTGTCTGCTCCAAAGGCTCCACAGGACATGGCACAACACAACCAGGCCATGTCCAGGCTTTAATGGCTCTGGCACACTTGGAACCTCAGGAATTCATCCCAAGACACGATCCCAAGCTCAACCAGGTCACACAGCCCAAGGCAGAGAAGGTGTGTGTGGTACTGAGAACTTATTTTCATATTTCCTCAGCTCCAGGTGCTGCCAACAACGGTTCAAGCCCAGCAGGATTAGTTTAAATCAGCCTCAGGCTTGTTCTTCTCCACAGCTCATGTCATCTTTAGGGAATTTATTATATGGAGAACGAGGCTGCATTGCTTCAGTCCCCTTTTCAGTCCCCAAAACACCCTGGACTGACTTGTGGTCCAGAGGGGCCAGACCCCCATCCCAGCCTGAACCAGCCCCATGGCCATGTTCCTGTGTGGAATGTGATCTTCCTGACCTAAACCACGGGATACAACACACACGTAAGGAACCAGACCTGCCTCTGAATTGCTGAGCACAGCACACACCTTTGGAACTATTTGTACAGTTCCACCTCCAGCTTAAGATCCAGCCCGACACAGGCAATTAATTGGCTGCTTTCTGGGATCTCACATGGAAAATGCAAACACTGGACCAAATAAAAACCAGCAATGAGATTTTTCCGCGACCCTGCAGAAAGTTCAGAGCAAGATTTCCACCAGCCCTCTGAGTGTCAAAGGTCTCTGAGGGCACCATTTATCACCACAGCAGAATTTAAAACAGACATCAGTATATTTTAAACTATTTTATTTATTAAATTTTCCCAGGGAGAAAGTTCTGTGGCAGAAAGCTCCACTGGCAAATAGTTACCTCTTTGTATTGACCCCCCTCTCGATTCATCTGCTAAACCCATAGATGGAAGTGGCTTTAGTGTTTCAGACAGTTTTGGCTTCTCTGCTGCTGAGTACAGTTGGATTAGTTTCTGAAATAGAATTGGCTCCCAAATTATTTGAAGCATTTGTGCTCAGGGAATGCTGGGAAATGTCATTAGCGTGCCATAATACTTTTGTCTAATGCTCTCCAAGTCTATGCCAAAATAAAAAAGGGAAAAACAGTGTCTATTTTGACTCCAGCAGCACAGCTTAAGTACTGTGGGAGCAGATCTCGAGCACTGCCTCAAATTCAAATGAATTAATGACAGCAAACTTTAAGCTGAGTTTATTTCCTTTGTCTGGAGAAGAGGCAAAGGTAATAGCTGATGAAATAAAATACAGATTTATGCTGGGGGCTTGGTAAGTTGGAGTCTCTTTGTCTACTCATTGCCTGCAGTAGATGAGGGAGGAAGAGGAACAACCCCCCTGCCATGTCAGCAATTTTCTGAGTCTCCCCAAATCCTGTCATTTATTGTGTGCAGTTCCTTCAGCTTTCATTCAACACATTCCTCACCTCCTCTGGGGCACTCTCTGCTTCACAGGCTTTTGTCTTCTGCTCCCAATTCCCCTGTGTATGTGCACTTAATCAAGTGCTGAGTTTGGAGCTCTAACTTTTCCATCTGCTAATTAATTCCCATCCACGAGCCACCTCCTCCTCCACCCCAGAAGATGCTGTACTCACAAGCCTATTTCCCTGGTGACTAAATCAGGAAATTTATTACCAATCTTCTTCTAGCTGTGCCCTGTGGTCTGACAGGAGCTTGTGCCAGTGTTCCAAGGGGCTGCCATGCCCAGGAAACCACCACAGCCACCTCCAACAGCTTCTGACACCAGCCTGCTCCAGGAATTGATGGTGCTCTGCAAGTACAATCCTACAAAACTATTCAAATCCCTTAAAAATTAGTCAGAACACTGAAGTGTGGAGCAGCCGACTATTTATTTCTTTAAAAATCCAGAATATTTTCAACATGTAGACGTCCCAGACAACTAAAAAGGAGTAAATAAGTAAACAAATGCTGTGAGCCCTCCTTCAAAACAAACCAAACACCCAACAAGACTTTGCCAAGAGGCTGTGGGTGTACATGCTATGGATGGAGATCAGGTTGGCAGTGTTTAAAAGAAGATGTATTAAAAAAAAACCAAAACAAACCAGAAGAAATCGCTTCCCTGTGGTGAGTCAGACCAACATAATTAAACACAAGCCATGGTCATCAGTGCTAATTAAAATGGGGTTCTCAGAGGGGTGACTTTGGGCCAGAGTCTTGAATTTATCTCTTCAGTGCTTGAGCAGCACAAAGCAGAGGTAGGGGCTGCTCAGCCTCCAGCAAATCCTGCTCTTCCCTCAGCTTGAACCACAGAGGATTTGGCCTCTGCTTCAGTTCAGTTTTCAAAACAAAGGTGGATATACTTCACTGGGAGCAGGTGCAGAGACATTAACACTGGAGGAAGCCTCTCCCTGCCTTAGCAATGGGTTAATATTGTCCTTTTTCTGTCACCAAAGCACTGCTCTGCCCCATCACAGACCTGCTGGGGACAGTGGTTTGCTCCCCCCTCGGCCCCACTGCCCCCAGCTCTGGCCACAGCATTTCCCACAGGGGCTGAGGGATCCCTGCTGTGGTTCCCACTGCATTTCCAGTGCCTAACTAGCCTCATCAATGCAATCCACTTAATACACCCAGCCCTGGTTTGCCAAGGGAAGGTGAGCAGCCACAGCCACCCAAAATCAGTGGGTTTCGCTTCTCTCCTTAGTCTCCCCATGTTTCTTCTACCTCCAGCCTTCAAAACCATCTCTTTTTCTGCACAGAACCAACCAGAAATAAAAATTAACCCTGCACTGTAGAGTCCCTTCAGCCCTGCATCCCATCTCCAGCAGAGGATTTAAAACCAGACCACACAGGGATACCCCCAAACACCCTCCCTACCTCCAGAGATTTACAGCTCAGAAAAACCTCTCAGTCATAGCTGGGATCTTTGTATTTAAGTCTTTCATGTCCTTTTCTCTCACACAAATTCGTGCAGTTGCTTTTTGCACCTATGTAAACACAGCTTAACACAATGAGGAGATTTATAGACGTTGCAGAGAAAACCACATTTCCTCGTTGCTCGGAGCCTGCCACCCACTCACTGCCTCCAAACCCGCTGCCAGCTCAGTCCCCTCACCTGCTTCCCCCTAAATCCACATCCTGGTCCAAGGAAGGCACTGGGATGGGGATGGGATGGATGAGAGTGGCAACAGAAGCAGTGGCACCACCTGCATGGCCTGGCTGCTCTTTGCTTCTTTACCTGCACTGGTAAGGAAAGTAAGAGCTAAAGGATCAAGCTGAGCCTTTCTCTTCATTTATTCACTGGAATGTTTCAAATTTTTCCAGCTGAAAAAGATGTCAGATTTCAGGAACTTTTGGCTGTTAAAAAGATGCAGGTCAGAAGGGAAAGCAAGACCCCCCTGAGGAGGGAGACCCAACTTCATCTCAACTATGTGAGAGGCTGGGAGAGCTGGGGGGGTTCACCTGGAGAAGAGAAGGCTCCAGGGAGATCTGAGAGCCCCTTCTAGAGCCTAAAGAGGCTCTAGGAGAGCTGGAGAGGGACTTGGGACAAGGGATGGAGGGACAGGACAATGGGGAATGGCTTCCCACTGACACAGGGCAGAGTTAGATGGGATGTTGGGAAGGAATTCCTGGCTGGGAGGGTGGGCAGGCCCTGGCACAGGTTGCCCA